GATCTTTTGTTATCTCCTCTTGAAGCTTCTGTATCATCACATTTGGTTTCCTCCATTAGAGGAATCTTCATTTTTCATATCATTTATCACCAGATACTTTAGGTTTAGTGGCAGTAGTATGTATTAGGACACTCTACAAATGGAACAGTTCCCAACTGCTAGCAATTTTGGAACTGTACATTTAAGTTGTAATTATGCAATACTGTTATCAAATGAATTATCATACTTTCCAATAATCTAACGTTCATGAGCTATTTCAGTGGTAAAATTCTCTACCACACAAGTAGTTTAAAAATGATTAAGGAATACTGTAATTGCAAGGAGTTTGTTCTCTCTCTTGTGCAGTAAAAGGAATTTATTATATCACATGAACATGCTTTATACCAACCTGCAATTATGATAGCACTGTTCAGCTCCATTGTCACCTGTATCCATCTTGAACATAACATCTCTTCTTGGATAAGGTAATATCCATCATCAACTAAGGCACATTTCAATTATTGGAATGACTCAGACAGTATAAACAGTGGCACTATTGAACTCAATGTGTTCATAATAAGACTCAAAACTGAGAAAGCTTTAGGTATGTTTGAGCCAGTCTGCCACTGCTTTTATTTTAGTAGGACCTTTAGATACTCTGTATTTAATGTCCAAGAATTTCTATATACAATTGCAAAACATAACATTTCTCTGTCTACAATCTCAGATGTGCAGCATAATATGTGCAACAAAACATAAAACTATCATTTATATATGCATTACAGTGCCACCTTTACAAACCACACAATGCACCTTGCATCTATTGCTCAAAAATAGCTAGAACAATACATCTGCCAAAAAGACATGATTCAAAACTCATATGAGCCTTCTCACGTGTTAAAAGCAGTTTTGACTGCTTTTATTGTCTAGCTCAATCTGCCAGCAACCAAAAGCAAAATCTTGTGAAATTAAGTCAATGAAACTCTTCCAGTACAAGTAGACTTTTGCCAATGTATTGATACATATTACTGCACTTACCAACCCGAAGTCCACACAAACCTCACCATGCCTCTATTTTTCCTTAGTTAACACTGGTGATCACCAGGTATTCTCTGAAGGCTGAATGATTCCATCCTTCAGCTTTTCTTTATATCAGTGATGGCTATAACCATGTTGCTCAAAATGTAACCTGATGGTAACATTTTTATGAATATCTCCAATATTTTATATGATTCTGCAAATGCATTGATAAACTCTGTCAAAAACTTTCTGAATATCCTCTGTTGGTCTAAGCTCAGAAAAACTGCACAAGTGGCCAAGATGTCCTGACAACAATGTATTTGTTCATTGATATAGTGTGGCTGAAGTAACACTAGCTACAGTTTCAGGTAACTCTCCTACAAATACAGGTCAATTTATCATAATGATAATCATGACCAGTAACATTATTTTGTAGTTACTATAATTACAAACTGTAGGCAGAATATATCTTGCTTTTAAAGAGATAAGTCCTAGCAAGTGCAGCTTGGTTTCAAGGGAAAGCAATGGGTCACAGATTTTCTTCTACCATAGTATAAGCTGATGATGCAACTATTTGTGCATTAGATAGAATAGCAATGACAGCATCTACATGCACTCATGCATTCCACTGTTTTTACACATTTCAATCAGCATTTTAATTTTACCATAGAGCTGCAGTTCACATGGTATATTAGGATGTATAACTTCTGTGGATATCTAATTATAAGATGCTGGAGCTTCAGCAAGCCAAGATCCACAACAACTATCGCATGCTTAATAACGTGGAATAGAATTTTTCCATTGACTGCATTGTTTCCTGGTCAGAGTAGTGGTTTACATGGCACTGACTTAAACACTGTTAGATCAAATGCAGTTTTAGATGATCCTGTGTCAACAACAAACTGTGATATTAAGAGGTTAAAATTCAAGGAACTTGTGTATATATTTAAAATATTAAAATCTACAGTTGAACAACATTTTATAATACACAAGCAAAATTTTTATTTAAACCGATCAACAATTGTAAAAGTCACTCTACATGTTTTAACATGGTTTCACTTCATTTAAAGGTGAAGTTGACATTGTTCATTTGTGGAATTTAATATTTTACAAACTGTAACTTGCATCTGCATACTTTCATAAACACATAAGAAGCCATGCTTGGCACTACAGAAGTCAAACTTACCATCAAAACTGAAGAAACAGACTAATGCTAAATCTGATCTACTGCTTACTGGTTTCCATTATTAGATGTGACAACATTCATTACTTATCTTCTTTCTGAGTTTGTTGCCTACCATTTATTCTATTTTAGTGGGCTCCTGTGCAAACACATATGAAAAGGGCACTTATGCCACAGTAAATCAATCTGTCAACTATTTTAGCGCACATCTCTCCTTCCCTGTTCTTTTCATGTATCCTGGCATCAATGGTAAAATCAAGGTAAAAGATCACTCACTTACTTTGCTAACAGCCATTCTGGCTGAAACGAGTATACCGTATGGTGTCTGCAAGATGATACTAATCTATTACAAGTTCTCATAACATGATACTGGCATTACTGGGAACTGCAAGTCTGGAAGAACCACTGCAAGTTTTCTCTTCTCCAGCAACATAGCTGAGGTTGCCAACTCATACCCTGTTGCTATCAACACAGGCCAATTGTGAGACATAATGTCTTTAATGCCAATGTGGTATTGCATGGTCTCACTTGGAAGCCCTACCACAAATATATGGGTAAAAATGTCTTCTCAATCAGGTAGCATCAAGCATTGCAGCTCATTGGTAAACACAGATGTCTAATGTTTATCTCAACCTTTATTGTAGACAACTCAAACAAGTAGGCCATCCTGTTTACTGCCTATCAACGGTTTATCTTGATTAATCCTTCCATCAACTCATCATGAGAGCATGTTTCACTTGAAATTACTTGTTAATTCAACAAAATGGGTCAATTGAGTATTTTATCTAACTTTTCTTGTAGTTACCTCAACTCAGTAAGTCAGCATGCACTTAATTTTTGAATGGTTTATCTCTAATTTTCTTGTTGTCATATCAACCGAAATAGTTGGCTCACTCAGTCTTTTGATTGGTTTGTCTCAACCTATCTGTTGTTACCTTATTTAGAGAGGTTGGTCTGCTAACTGCCTTTTGATTGGTTATCTCAATTCACTTATAGTGAACAAATTCAAATAAACAGGTTGGCTTGCTCTATCTTTCTCTTTGTAACTCAACATCTTTACATTAACTTAAATGAGTTCATCTTGCTCAGTGTCTGAAACTAATTTATCATGTAGTCAACTGAATTAGACTGATCTGCTCATTATTATGTCAAATGATTTATCATAACTTTTCTTGTAGTCAACTATCTTAACACATTAGCTTGCTGTGTTTGTGGTTTATTCAAAAATGTTTTTACATCAACCAAAATATCCATCTAGTGATTGAATGTTGAGCAATTTATTCTGACTTTTCTTGTAGTCATCTCATATCAGTAGGCCAGTTTACTCATACTCTAATGAATAGTTTAAGTTCCCTTTTACTAGTCGACATGCAGGAGCAGGTTGACCTGCTAGATCTGTCTAGTGGTTTATTCCAATTTAAGAAAAATAATTAACTCAACAGAGTATACATGTCCAATTATTGAATTTCAAGTGGCTTATCCCAAACCTTGTCATCATCAACTGATTATGTTGACCTCGTAACTGTTTGGCAGTTTATGCCAAAACTTGTTTTTAACTCAATTGTGTAGTTGTTCACTTTCTTTTGAGTGATTTATCCTATTTTCTTCTTGTATTCCACTCAACTAAACAGGCCAGTCTGCTCCTTGTGTCAAGTGGTTTTTCTTAAAGGTTGTTGAACTAAGTAGGTCAGCTTGTTCACTACCTCTCAAGTGATTTATTGCATAGCATTTTATGTATATGGAGTTCAGAAATCCAAGTTAAATATGTAGTTCGGCATTTTACATGATTAATAAGAGCAAATTTCGTAAACTGGCTCCCTATCATTACATTAAAATTATATATCTTATGATAAGTGTTAAAAAATGTTTAGAACTTCTATAGAAAGTAATGTTGTATAAATGAATTCACAGAAGTAATTAGTTACAATAGAATACATGTAATTAAGAAAGACCATATTCAAGAGCCTCATCACAAGTTTTCTTCACATCATATGCCTAAATTTAGCCATTCAGAGACAATTTCATCATGCTTGGTAACTACAGAGTAATTTTGTCAGTCTTTAGAAAACTAGGAACTGTAACAATACTTACTCTTGGAAATACTTCGTAGTTAGTAAGAGGGAGTTCTGGCTCACCCCTACTATTCAACTAATCTCACTCTATGTAACTTTCCTATCCATAAGAGGGAAAATTGTTGTAAAAACATTTCCAAATTTAAAGTAATACCATAAAGTAGGTTTTTGAGCTGACTATGTAGAAGCTGAGGCAATTATGACATCTAAGGGTTGTAAACTGGATAAGAAGTAACTATATTTGGCAGATCAAAGTGTTTACTTTTAGTTTGTACATTTGTGTTTTCCAAAAAGCAATACATGGATCTTTTGAAACAACTTTAGAACATGGTTTTAAATTATTTGCAATAAATTATTTTAAATACATGTATTGTTATTCATTGTCAAACAAATTTTGAAATCTTAAACTAAAGATAGCTTGAATTTGCTTCAATGTTGCATCTTTACTTAAAATGACATAACTGTGTTTGTTTTAAACATGTGAAGCACTAATTTTTTAAGGGAATCAAAGTTTTCATCCCAATACTTATGTTTATTAGAATATATTGACAGGATTTAGGTCCGTGCTCCTCCACTCTACTGATAAAAGTTTATAACCAAAATTTCTATTTTTGTTGTATATTTTGTGAGCTGTTACTTTCTACAGAAAAAAAATCAAGACATGGTGAAAATTATAAATCTGTGTCACATTAGAATGAGTGTTTAAGTGTGATCACCTAAGTACCTAATAACTTTACAAGTGAAAAGCCAATATTTTAACTACATATTTAATTTTTCCATCAGTAGTTACACATACAATTCAATTTCATGAACATCAAAATTTTAAAGCAAAACTGTTTTAAGTGATACCTTAAGAAAGCAAATTTTTTTTTCATTTTAGATTTTATTAAATTTTTTCTAATTAGATTTCCACCTGCTATTGTTTATTTTATGTAAAAATTTATGACACCTAAAATATTATCATGATTTAACAAATAATATCATAACATAATGCTTGATAAACTCCAAAACAATAGTAACATTTTCAGTGGTTTTCTCTTGAAGATAATTTTTAAATATTTTTAACTGAAAACTATGTGTAATCATGGAAAAACGTAAACTAATACTGTTTGTAAAAGCATCTACAGTAAAGAAAAAAGCATTTTAAAACAATATGCCTTAAAGTCCTAGTGTTTATTGTTAAAGAAAAATATTATCACCAAACTGCAGGAACACATATATGTGTATAACTTTAAACAATAAACGTGCTAAACTTTTGCAGAAAAATCTGCAGCAATGTCTAACAACAAACATTTCTTTTGCTTAAAGACAACAATTAAATGTAGAATGTCAATAAAATTTATCTATAACTGAAAAAAATACATACACTCATTAAAATTTGCATTTCAGTATTTTTAAATTTGATTATTTGAAAATCATTATCTTTTTTGTAAAGTGAAATGTTTCTTAAAGAAATGACACGTTGTCATATCAGTATATATATATATATAGTTGTTTTTTTGACATGGTACATAAGAGCTATGTTATACAAGGCATTTGTAATCATCATAAAAAGTTTCCAACTACTATATGTACAAAATGTGCTAAAATCATTGAGAAAATAAATAGTTGTGCACCTTTTTCAAATTATGCTAAAAAATTCAAATGGTGAGAGCAATGTACTAAAACTACATAGTAATAAAACAAATCTTCAGAACTGTGAGTTTATACACGTTGACTGAAGAATAGAATTTTTTGAGCCATGCAAGCAGAAGAGCATGAACTAAATGTTAAAAAGTACACAGGAATTATTTATAACATGTAACCTAAGCAAATTTTATAACATAAGTTGCTATAACTAAAAGTATGGTATATGATAATAGCACTTTTGTTTGTGAATGTCTGGTTTATTTTATTAAATAATATTACATAATTTTGACATATAAATTTGAAATACTTCTTCCTTACTAAACTCCATAGACACTCTCATCACTATAGGCAATATATAAGAAAAAGTCCTCTTCATGGTGTTCCTATAATGAAATAACAGAAAGTAAAAACATCTGTGTTAGGTAAGCATTGTAAAAAGTAAATAAAGAAACTGAAACGGTCAACATGTTAAAAATGTGTGAATTATGAAGTCTTATAGGAATTACTTTATAAAATAAAATTCAGAAACATAAATAATCTCCTATTTCTATGGTGTGTCTACCTGATATAAAGAACCCATGGTTGCACTGGTAGGAGGAATTACATTGTTGACAAAGAAAAACAATGCATCTTCTGGACGCAGGTGGATTCGTTTTCGAATAAGGAAATAAAACTGTCCAACTGTAAGGTCTGAGGGCACAAGATATTTTTTTTTGTCCAAATCACCAATGCGGGCTTTAGGAGCTTTCTCTACAATGACCTAATGAAAAACAACTTTATTAAGACATGAAAAACATTGTTTTCCAAAATGAGTAATTCTTTCAAAGAGAATGTGGTTTATTTTATATATTCAAAAAAGATAAATTATGAGTACAAAACAAGTCTTAAAAAAAGCTAGGAAGGCCAGAACTTTAAGCTTAAGTACAGTAAAACTTCTTTTAAATGATACTTCATGTATAATTTTTATTTTTTTCACCATATGATACTCATGACATTGTGTATAAATTTAAAAATATCAGTGGTTTGATTTTATTTTCAAATCAGCCTAATTTTTCTACAACTTCCTATTATAACAAAAATGTCATTAATTAATTATTTAAAAACAATAAAATTTACTTAAGTTTAAGATTTTTCAATTATTATGCTCTAGAAATGCTAAGATATGGTTGTTTTGTACGTATGTAGAAGTTTCATAATTTTTATTTTGACACACAGCTGAGGACATTGCGGTAATGCAGTTTTTACTTGCTGGATAGCAATTTCAGGTAAAATAAAAATTTCATTACAGAAAACTATATTCTGAACATTTGAAACCAATAACTTTAAATAATCAACTGTTGTGGCTTGTCTATGACATTTTAGGGAGTCAGTTATTATGTTTGTGTCAAATTACCACACTTCTAACCAATTCCACTGATTATATCACAGATAAAGTTGTATCATGTACAATTTCACAAGCATTAAGTATGTCATCATGGTATGTTTGAACGTTGTTTGGCTTTGTGACTTAACAGGTAATCTATAAAATGGTAACTTCTAGTCTGTTTTCTCTCTCCAACTAGTTACTTTTTTTTCTTTCATTTTTGTAAATGTTTACAACTAATCAGAATTTTGCAGTTGTCTTGATCAATTACACATAGCTTAACAAGCACTGTATGTTTATAAATAGATGGATACTATATTTATAGTAGAAAACTATACTTTTAGAAGATAGGTGCTACTGAATTTTTCATGTACATGACTCCAAAAGCACATTTCAGTTTCTTTTATAGTACATGCATATGTATACAAGTACACAGAATTTCACTGATAAGATAGATTTTTTAAGTTGGTTGTCATATTTTACTTAGGATGGACGTTTTCTAGCTGTCCATGGTTTTACAGCATTTGATGCTTAAGTTTCAGAATATGTGTTTGATTTTTTACTCAAGATTTAAAATGAATGGGGATAAATTGTTACCTTGGCTTTTCATTCTAAACATTTTAAAGAGAATGGCATAAAAGGAAATTTAATTAGTTATACTGATCTCAATGGACACCTGCTTAAAATAACTTTACTTTTTAACTTTTTAATTGCTATAGCAGTCTAACCAATTGGACTGAATAATTATATTTTTGATCATTCATAAAAATGTCATGAGCTTTCAAACTAAAAATTTGCCTGTAAATAACAGAAATTCCCTATAACAACAACTCTAGTTGAAAATGACACCTCTTCATAGCATATATTAATTATGAAACAATATCACTGTAATTCAGTAATATATATATATATATATATATATATATATATTTGTAGATCTACTTATTTAGTATTATAAACTAATACTTCATAGTAAATGACATGTACTACTTTACCAACAAGTAAATACTATACAAAGACAAACATACT